AGAGAGAGAGAGAGAGAGAGAGAGAGAGAGAGAGAGAGAGAGAGAGAGAGAGAGAGAGAGAGGTTCTCCTCTTGAGAGCCAGCAGACATGGTTGACATACCCTGTGCAGCAACCTTTGGCTTTTCCTCCACAGATGTTGAGTATCTCATGTACTGGAAGTCCACACATGTTTTCTGCAGCAGTAAAGGACCCTGCACTGCACTGGTGTCATTTTTTCTGCAATTCCTGATTCTCACTAGCTCTCGCTTTCCCTTATCCTTTTGTATTGTCAGTAGCAAAAAGGGCCCTTCCAATGACTTCCCACCACGGCCTGGGCCATTGTGCTGGGATTAAATTTTTTCACCTGCTCTGCAATATGTGGGTCTACCAGGTGTCAAATCCACATCTCTTGGGTTGTGTACGCATCTGCAGCCAGGGTTCGGAGTAGCATTCTGGCAGCCTAAGCAGACTTCACACAGCCTGGTGAGCGGGCCAGGAAAGGCGATATTAAATAGGCGTTTGCACCTCGCATCAGAGTTGTTTTTTTTTTTTTTTTCTAGACCGAGTGGACTTCGGCCGGGTGTTGGCCATCGTTTTCCACCAGGTTTATTGTGCGTTTGAGAGCGAGTGTTTTCCATGGTCAGGACTGGATTTCTTCCAGGCTGAGTAGTTTTCCACCAGTGAGGTTTTTCGGAGGCTTACGGTGTGTGTGTTCTTTTCGTGAAGTTTTCACCAGAATTCAGAGTTCAAAGCGAGTTTCTACTAGTGTCGGAGATGGGCATGTTAACCAGGCTGAGTGGATGCCCGCAAGATAATATGAGTGTTTTTTTTCCCTTTTTCTTAAATTTTCTTTTTCGCTTTTTTCAAACCAGGCATAGAAGAGGCTTCTGTGAGTATGAAAGCGAGTGAGCTCAGAGTGTGTTTTTTTTTTGTTCTTCTTTTCAGTCTACTACCCCCTCGAGGCTGGAGTTGGTCTTGACGAGGCCTTTGGGCTGTCATGCTCATTGTTGCAGCAAATTTTCAGGGCTCGCAGCCAGCTTGGCCAACACTCTGTCTCATGAAGGGAAGGGGGGATGTATCGTGCATTATGCCGGAAAAGTACCGGTTGAGAAGTCTTTGATGGTGTTTCCACTTTCAAGGAATACCTTTTTAAGATGTTCAAGACAGGTACGGTCTTCCTCAGCTGTGTGGTTGATACGCGTCTTCAACTTTTTTTTTTTTTTTTTTTTTTTTTTTT